GCGTAGTGTTTGACAATGAATTCCCTCTAATTGAGGTGTGTCTTTTCCCATGTTTCTCACGATCGGTTAAAAAGGAGCATTAAAGGTGAGGTTGCCCTAAATTGCGGGTGGTAGAAGGGTGTTGCTTCTAGCGGGCGACCACGACATCCTCACCTTTCATAGGTCTTTACGAATGAAAATGGTTTAAGAAATATATAAATTAGAGATTTCACACCTGCAGTGTCATCGACAACATTGCTTCACTTTCTATCATGGAGACTGCCTCCCGAGACATTATTGGAACATGAACCCTAAAAATCATGTCCAAATTAGTGAAAGTAATAGACCTTATCAATTCTTTAGAATGAGTAAAAATTGAAGTGTGTTGGTATAAATTGGAGAAAATACAATAATTAGGGAAGATCAGAGAGATGTGTTAAGAATTAGAGAACGAAAGCGAGTGAGTTTAGGCGCTTATGAGAAAAAGTGACTCACATAGAAATGGTGGCGGTCATAGAACAAGAACAAAATTTAGAGGTTTTGCGAAAGATACAACGATCTTTTAGGTTTTGAATTAGTGGTGAAATGAGGCGGAAGATGAAGTTGGTGGCTTCAGACCAAAACAAGAGGAGAGTAAAAATTAAAATTAAATTTTGTATTTTAAAAAATGAGATTTCACACCCGTTTTTAAAAAATAGGATATCTATTGTTACATGTTAAAACATAAAATGAAATTTTATTTACGAAATTACCACCGTGTTACACCCGTTTTTTTATAAAATGGGTGTTAATTCTCAAATTATATTCTTATTTTTGCACTAGTGGCGATTAGATGGCCCTGTTTGATGAAACTCTAGGTCATTAAGGCGAGATTATAGTTGATTCTGTCTTATGAGACTCCAAGTCCATCAAGCAAGAATATATGTTGAATATGTTTGATGAGACTCCTAGTCTCTCATGTGAGGTGTGGAGCCTCTTGGGAAAGGCTTTTGTCGAGATCCTTAGGCAAGACTTTTAAGTTAAGTCTCTCAAGACATACTTTAATTAAGTCCCTTAGGTGAGACCTTAGACTGAACCTTGTTAGAGGAGACTCTAAGCTCCTCAGACGAGGAGGTTTGATTAACCTGTATAATGATACTATAAGTCCTTTAGTAGAGATTATTTGTTGAGCCTGTCTAATGAAACTCCAAGTCCCTCAAGCGAGGCAATGAGCCTCAAGTAAGACTTCAGTCGAGACCCTCTGATAAGTGTTCACCGTTGAAATTGATAAACAAGCGTTAGTCTTTCAAATTTATTAAATCTTTGGTTACTTATAGGATCGACTAGATTGATCCTAGGACATGTGTTGTTATTTAGTTTCTGGGTTTGTTGATTATGAAAATTTTGACAATATTCTTAAAAGTTGTTAAAGAAGAGTTACAATTCCTTAAAGAAATACAGAAGTATAAATTGCAAGGTAAAATGGCTTCAAGATAAATTACAAAATCTTAAATGTCAAAACTGACTTTAAATTAAATTGCAGGAAATGTAAATTACAAGGAGAATCTTAAATAATCTAGTAAAAAGTGTAAAGTATGGTATTCACACGTATATTTTCACTCAGAAACATTTGTTTCTCACGCAAAGACACTTTGAGTAAATTTAGAATTTTTTGTACAAGTTTGAACACCCTCGAATCCTAGCTGCTAAGACTCTATTTATACTAACTTAAAAATAACCGCTATCTAACGGTCCTCTCTCCAGAAAATGTCACATCTTTAATCTGCATGCATTTTGATATTTAAAGCTCTCCAGGTGTCTTGAAAACAGATAAGGCCAAAAACAATTATCAACCTTATTTTGAATTGCACGTGTCGAACGCTACTCCATGTGAGCTTTGTCGAACTTCAGTCTTGGCCAAAATATTTCTAAGTCATAGACCACAACTCCATTGATAAAAGAAACTTCGTCGAAATGTTTTCATCAATGTTTTGTCGAAGTCAACATATTCTTCTTCAGAATATATCTTTGAATCCTATGACTTATTTCCAACATTAATGTGTGTCAAAATTCCAACTAACAATAAGACTTTTAAGTTTAGGCTCTCGGGGAAAACTTTGGTCGTTCCTTAGATGATACCTTGTGTTGGACCTTGTCATATGAGACATTGAGTTTCTCAAGCGAGGCGGTTAGACGAGCTTGTTTAAAGTAACTCAAAGTCCTTCAGGAGAAATTATATGTTGAGCCCGTCCGATGAGACTCCGAGCCTCTCATGCGGGCCATTAAGTCTCTCCGACACGACTTCGGCCGAGACCCTTAGGAAAGACTTTTAATTTAATTCTCTAAAGCCCGACTTAGGTTGAGTCCCTTAGGATGGACCTTGTCTGAGAAGACTCTAAGTTCCTCAAGCGAGGTGACATTCATGTTCTGATTGGTTGGAAGGGTCTCACTGGGATCACTATTGTTTAATGTGGAGTGATGAGTTGACATTATCTTGACCATTGTTACTTTATGAATAGACGATAAAGATTCATTACTTATTTTATTCTTTAAATTTGACACAAATTTTGCCCTTGAGATAATATGTCAAAAATAAAAAATAAATTTTAAAAAAAGTGGTAAAATATTATTTTTGAAATTTGAAAGAGGGTTGATCAATACTTTTCTTCTTGGTTGCAAGCACAATTTATGTAATAGTTCATAAACAAAAATAAAAAGTGATAAAATGCAGTCGTTGGAATTTGAAGGCTTTTTTCCTCAGTTGACAGCTTAATCGAGGTAATAGGTCATAAAAAAAAGTAAAATAAAATGTAGTTGTTCATATTGAAATGTGTGTTCCATGAATACTTTTTCCTTCAGGTGACAACTCAACCGAGGTAATAGATCATAAAAAAAATATTTAAAAAAATTTAAAAGTTGCTAAAATTCAATTTATGAGGTTCAAAGGCGTATCCTCTTAAATTGTGGTTTGCCAATAGATTATACATTGATTGTTTGTTGGGTGATATGAAAGATTTGTCATAGAATATATTATTTATAGTAGTAAAAATAAATGGTCGGATACTTTAACTTTGAAGTCTAGTTCTAACTTAATAGCAAATTCATATTTTCCATAATTTTAAATATAGCTACCACATCGTCTAAATTTATGCATACTCAAAATCAAATTAATGTTAACAAAAATGATATCTTGACATCCCAACCTACACCTACAACGTATACAATGTGCAAATATTTTGGTTTTTTGTAACTCCCTTATCAAATAAGGGGAAATAGGTCATTTCGAATTGATTGTTAGGATTAACTCAATCCAACTTCTCTCTCTGACAATAAATCGCGTCTCTCTTTCTGAAGAAGCAACTTTCTCTCTCTCTCTCTCTCTCTCAATTCCCAAACGACAGTGCTTTCTTCTCTCATTGATGGCGCTCTCTCTCGACTTTATGCTCTATCATCGATGGAACCTTCTTTCAACGCACAAAGATTTCCCTCTCAATGATGTGCTCTCTTTTAGAAAATTATTTTGACAAGGAGCACAGTGGTGGTTTGTGGTGGAATTACGATCGGAACTGTAACTTAAAGGTGATTTTAGATGAAAATGAGTTGGGTTTTGTTTTTCTTCCTCCTTTTATACTCTCGTTCTTCAATTGATTCTCAACTTGTGATTTGGTGACGAAATTGACTTTGTAGAAATGAAATTAAGTTTGGGTATGATTATGTTAAATGTGTTGTGTTGTGATGTGATGTTCTTAATCATTGTGATTTATATTCCCTCACTTTATTTTATTTTCTTTGTTCTTTTTTATTTTTTGTTTATTTTATCGTTGAAAGAGAAAAATTGAAAGAAGAATAACGTGTAGGATTTATTCTTTCAATTTAAGTGTCTTTATTTTTGTGTCTTGGTGCGCTTAAGGGTTAGGTTTATATCTTTAGTTATACTAATTCTAGTTTTATTTTGTTACTAGGTGGAGTGATTTATTAATGAAACATGGTATCATCAAGAAATGTAACCCTAACTGAAGTAAGTAAGTAAGAGCCTTATGTTGAGTTATTTACAAGAATGAAGAAGAAACAAAGGAAGCGTGGAAAAATGACTAGAATGAATTTGTAAATTATTAGTGTTGTATGGTATTTGAAAATTTGTGTTGATAAAAGTGTGTTGTATTACAAAATTTGAAAGAATTTGTGATTCTGTTTTGCTTATGTGCATAATGTGTTATGTAAGTTATAATTCCATTAGCCAAAGTGTGTGGTTCTGTTTGTGGTTCTGTTTTGTCATTAACCAACTTCCTTTACTGCATTGATCAACTTTAGCTTAACGTTTTTTCTTTCTTTTGATGTCTAAACCTATATTTATTATAGTCAAAATACCAATAACTAATTTTTAATTTAATGTATCTCCTTTATTTTGATGTAGTGAGAAGTTAAAATTTTATTAATCAACCAACTGTACTGTAATAATCAACGTTGGTTTAATAATTTTTTTCTATTCTGATGGCTGGACCTTTATTAATCAAAATTAAAATATAATTACCAACTTTCTGCACCGCACGGCAAATTAACGTGACTCACATATGACCCACGCATATATATACAAGGAGAAACAAAAAGTTGTATGAATATTAAATTTGTTATTTTTGTATAAAGTTTAACAACCTAGTGTAAGAATAGTCGAACTGTAATGTTAAGGGTCGCAAGTCAAGTCAACTGGCTAGCTTATATTTCCATGAACCTTCCAGCTTGGCATCAACGAGACGGACAAATTGATATTTTCCCCCGACATGACACCTATATACCACACAAAATAAACATCTAAAGCCGTGATCCTAAAGCAATTGAACTTTCAAATACGCTTACTCACTCAGATTAAGATATAGCTATGACTAATTCATTATTACGCGGTACCATTCTCACCTTTCAAAAATGTGACTTCATCAAATACTATCATTTCACTTATTCATATATTTCCACACATCATTAACCATCTAAAACAATCTCTTCATAAATCATCAACAAGAACCACCAAAACAAAAACAAGTTTTACCATGAAAACCAATGAAAATCACCGCGTCATTGATATTTGGAAACTAGACACAGAAAGATTAGCTTCAATGCAGCTCAAAATTTCACAAAACCCAAAACTACTAAGCAAATCCGCAGGAAAAAGATCTTGTACCATCTTGAGAGTTCCACAAAGCCTGATTGAAGCAAACGGAAAAGCATACCAACCTCGTATTGTTTCCATAGGACCTTACCATCGCGGACAACCTCGTCTCAACATGATCGAAGAACATAAATATTCTTACCTTAATTCTCTTCTCACAAGAACACAATTACCCTTACAAGAGATTCTAAAAGCCATTGCGCCGTTAGAAACTGAAGCTAGAGAGTGTTACTCTGAAGCAATTCAACTCGATTCACATGAATTCGTTGAAATGATGCTACTTGATGGTTGTTTCATCGTTGAACTTTTTCGTAAAGTTGCAAGATTAGTACCTTTTGAAGATGGTGACCCATTAGTTAACATGCAATGGATTCTACCGTATTTTTACAGGGATTTTCTTAAGCTTGAAAATCAAATCCCTTTCTTTGTTCTTCAACGCTTGTTCGAAATTTCAAAACCATCCCATGAAAACTCAACGTTTACACTTTCAAGTCTTGCTATGGAATTCTTCAACAACTCGTTACAAAGACCGGAAGAAGTAATCGCGACGATATCAAAGCAAAACGAGGTACCAAAGCATTTACTTGACTTGGTTCGTTCGAGTTTTATTCCAATTAGCGAAAAAGAAAAAGAACACAAGAGAATAAAAACACCAACACATGTAATTCATTGCGTCTCGAAGCTTCGTCACGCTGGGATTAAGATAAATCCAGGGAAGAACAGCGAGAGAGAAAGCTTCTTGCAAGTGAAATTCAAACACGGTGTGATAGAAATGCCGACAATTACTATGGACGATTTCATGACTTCGTTTTTACTTAACTGTGTTGCATTTGAGCAATGTTACAGTGGTTGTTCTATGAAGTATTTCACAACCTATGTAACATTATTGGATTGTTTGATAAATACTTATAGGGATGTTGAGTATTTATGCGAGAGGAACATAATTGAGAACCATTTTGGAGCAGAAGGTGAAGTGGCACATATTTTTAATAATGCTGGAAAAGATGTCGTGGTTGATTTGGATTTGAGTTATTTGTCTGGTTTGTTCAATGAGGTTCATCATTATTATCAAAATAGTTGGAATGTTACATGGGCTAGTTTTAAGTACACTTATTTTAATACACCTTGGTCTTTTATCTCTGCTTTTGCTGCATTAGTGTTGTTGATTCTCACTATTGCTCAGACTTATTTTGCAGCTTATCAGTATTTTGATAACTAAACTTATATGATTAGAGGATTTTGCTATCGGTTTTTGGTATAAATCGGATATTGTGTGTGATCAACTGCTGAGACTAATTCTTTGAGCTGAGGAGGATAACATCAGGTGATAAGGCATTTCCTCAAGAGATTTGACATTATTGTGCGCAAAGGATTTGATCAAACCTAAAACTTTTGGTTAAGCTGGAAGAGACTCTTACCACCTCATCTGAGTGCTATTGGTTATTAGTTATTGTGGTATCATTTTTTTATCATGTAACCAAATTTATTTGTGTAATTGAAGATTTTTTATTTTATTCCAAAGTTGAAATCATAATCACTCTGTTTGTTACGATGACATGAGTCTTCTGATTCAGAATTGCTCTGGTTCTCAAAGCTCTTGATTTGTTTATTAAGCATGTGTTATTTGAAGTTTTATAAAATGGAGTGATAGTTTGACACTTAATACATTAGGTACATCCATTTGACATTCAATGTAAATGAAATGCTTATGTGCTAAATGCATTGAAATACCCTAAGAGGGTGTAGTTGGCTATTCTCCAATCGGTAGTTAAGGCTCTTTAGTCCATAAACAATTCCTTAACACTAATGACAAGTTAAGGAAGTAGTTGGCATCTTTGAAAGATGAATTCAAGGATCATAAGTGATCCACAACAAAAATCACTTAATTCAAGTAGGCTAAACAAGTTTGAAACTTTGGAAATGATGGTTGGTGAAATGACTAATGATAATATACCATCTCACTTCTAATATGTCTACCTAGAGGAGAATTCTATTGTAATCAGTTGTTAGATAGGTTAGTTGGCATGAAATACTACTATAATCAAATTCAGACAGCATTTACATCTCCTTATGACACATTTACTTTAAGAATAACCTTGTTTGGGTTTTGCAATGCAATTGCAACTTTTCAAAGATGTCTGATGGCCTTATTTCTCAGATCTTATTGAAGCATCAATGAAAGTATTCATGGATAACTTATATTCTTTTAGTGAGTCATCTCAAGAATGCTTAGACAATCTAGAACTAGGGCTAATAGGGTGTAAAAAGAGCATTTTAGTTTTGAACCGGGAGAAGTGTGACTTCATGCCGAAAGAAGAAATAAAACTTAGGTTGTAGAACCTTAATTTGCATGTCATTGATCTAGGATGCTCTCTTGATGGTGAATATGATTTTGATGATGACAATTTGGTTTTAATGATAGCAACTATAATCAAATATAAACTGGTTTAAAATGTAAGCAGATTAATAGGGTTTGATATAACTGATTCTCTGATGTTGACACCTAAACGGAATATAACTCAGGTCTCACTTTAAAATAGAGTTCAAGCAGAAGTCTACAAGATAAAAGTATTTGAAAAGTCTTGAAATATGTGAAAGTTCGTTCAAATGCGTCTGAGTGAATATATATTGTAAAATATAAAGGCTTTGTCCTAAAGTATATGGCTAATCTCAAACACACACAAATTTTCAAACTTATTATTCACAAGAAAATTCTTTTAAAAATGTTTTAAAGTCGTGTCAGATGGTTAGGAGCTTTTAGAAGAGGTTTTGGAAATATTTTGTTCTTGCCACTTAGTTGGCACTTATACTCAATTGACTTGGTTAGTGCAAAAATCTGTCATAAGAAATTAAGATAACATTTTAATGATAGGAAACAATTATATATCTCTTCTTGCATTTTTAAGCTTACTAATCGATTATATTTTGCCAACGAATCGATTGGCTCATCATGTTTTACCATAAAAATTTTCCTTTTCTGTGTCAATCTCTATCCCATAAATAGAGTCCCTTTCCATATATTTTCACATCTAGAAACATGTGCTTTCATTCCTTACTCATCACACTTTCTCGCTATAAATATTTCTTTTTTACTTTCTCTTACTAATGTTTAGCTGTAAAGTTTTCAAGAAAGTCGTTTTGCAAGTGAGACAGTTGTAATTCTAGAAGGGTGGATTTGTAAATTCACCAACGTAGTTTCTTTTTTACTTTGGTTAAATAATTCATACATTTAGGGATTATTTATTTTAGTTCGAATCTAAGCCACTTAAAATCTTAGTTTTGGGGATTTAGTTATTAAGTCGTCAGTTTGGATAAAAGGCCTAGCCCGTTCAAAAGTCTTCATTGTAAGCCCGGTTTTAAAATTTCATCTTGGTTGGTGGTTATCCTATGTAAAAAAACAAAAATTGGTTGAAGATCATCCCAATATTAAAAGTTTATTAAAGTTGGAGATAAGCCCAGTAAAAAGTATCTTAGGTTCTTGGTTAGCATGGTATAAAACCACTATTTGGTTCGTGAGCTTAACTCGGTGTTAAAAGCTCTCATAGTTTCAAGATTAGCATGTGTAAAATATTTGTTTGAAGATTGAAGAATAATCTCTCCAAGTCTCTTGTGGAAAGAAGACTAACCGCTTAAATTCACCATTTCAAAAAAAAAGACTCGCTGCTTCTCTCCCTATTTCCTATTTGGTTGGAAGTAAGCCATAACACTTCAATTTTCTTGTAAAAAGGAGCTTAAGAAGTAAAACTAATAAAATCTCTTAAGTTTTATTAGATACTCTTAAGATCAAATCTTGGGGACAGGTACTAAGTCTTTTTTATTGAACCTGTATAATTATTGGTGTCTTCTTTCTTCTCTTAGCTTGTACTTTTTGCACTTTATCTTCTGAATTTTTTTTCTGCTTCTTAATTTCAACATATTTCTTAAAATGTTTATAAACTATGAAATTTATTAAAAACCTTTTTCAAAATCAAGTTTTTCTTAAACACACAATTCACCTCCTTTTTTTTGTGTGAAGTCGCATGTCCAACATAAATATAAGAAGAGGTTGAAAATAGATCAAGCCAAGATTGAAGCACTGCTACAAAATATACCTATGGTAATATAATATTACTATGACCATTTTGTCAATCGTAGTAATATTTCATTTTTAACGTACATGGTTTTATTTATTTTAGTAAAACACCTTTAATCACACTTCCTAATAACAATCGTGATCATAGAATATGGGAGACAAGCTTCAAATCCAACATCAAAAATTTTCCATTTTTAAAAAAAAAAATAAGCGCGTGTCCCTTAACATTAATTATTATATAATAATTGAAAGTAGAATAACTACGGTTGTTTCAATCAACCATGGTTATAATTTTCATATATTTCATAGCAACTGTTGTTCCCAACTGTTGTGAAATTATTTTCTACAAAATTAAAACATAAGAGGTTCTTTATTTCGTCTATAACACACAAGGGTGCCCTAGCGAACGAGACGACAACGATAGCGAATTCTTCACCATCTTTATTCATTTTTTCGAATAAATAATATTTATTTGTCTCTTCCTCCTCTACGAAGTATGGTATGTTACCTTTCTATGTTCATGGTTCATTGGTTATTGTTCATTTCTTGGTCTCTCTTGTGCGTTGTGTTGTGGTTTTCCTTTATGTGGTGTGGACTTGCGTTTTATTGCAATTGGATTACTTTGTGTTTTGGGTTTATTTAGATTTTGTGATTTTTTTTCGTTGTTTCAAAGCTACGGTTGTTGTCATGTGCCCTGTTCTGCCATTGTGATGTTTTCTTTGTGATGATTTTATGACTTTTTTGTTGTTTTCGTTTTGGTGTTATAAGTTTATTGCAAATGAAGAAATAAATTTGGTTATGAATATGCTTTTGGTTTTGGTGTTATGTTATTGTGATGAATATGCATATATTGTGATAGAATATGTCAAAATTATATCACTTATATTGTGATAGAATGTGTCAAAATTATACAACATGGACATGCCATGAAGAAGTGGATAAAAATCGAAATGCTACATCACAAATTGATGAAGACGATGAATATATTGATGATACACTAGAAGATATGATCTGTCATATTGGAGAATCGTCTTATATAAAAGACCATATTTATGATACTTTATGTAGTTGTAAAGATGTGCCTTTGTATAAGAGGTGTATAAGTTTTACAGTATTGTCTGCTTTGTTAAAATTGATTAATCTGAAGAAAAAAGGGGGTGGTCAGATAAAGGTTTCACATAGTTGCTTGATTTATTGAAACAAATGTTACCAAAAGATAATAATTTGTCGAATCGTTGTTACAAGACCAAGAAGATATTGTGTCCAATGAGTTTCGATCATATCAAAATATATAGTTATCCTATATATTGCATATTATACAGGAAATAGTATGAAAATTTGGATCAATGTATGAAATATCGTACGTCGCACTACAAGTTGAAGGAAAATAATAGTGATGACAATGACAATGTTAGTAAGAAACGCCTTCCTGCTAAAGTGTTATGGTACTTGCCAATAGTTTCATGGTTCAAGAGATTTTTGCAAATGCGAATGATGCAAAAAGTATTAGATGTCAAGCAGATGAAAGAAAATGTGATGAAAATATTTAACATGATTTGAGTTTGCTAGAATATTCGCAAACATTCAAGGGATGAAATATTCAATCATTTAAGTTGTGATTTAATTCAATAACATTAGAAGTGTTTAATTATTTTATAATAAAATAAATATTATATTATTTATGTTGTTTATGTTAACCATGCTAATTAAATTTTATATTAGATTTTTAATCAATCAAATGTATTATTTTATATAATAACATTATTTATAACAATTTCGTGCTGTCAAATAAAAGAAATTTAAAACTTGTATTGCTATGTGGCGTTAGAAGATTTGAACTCTCACTATCAGTCATATGAGTTGTGTCAAATTTTGCTTCCCTTGTGTATAATAACAGGTCTCATAAGTCATCGTAATCTTAATTATTGTGGAGATTAATATTCTCCACGATGTTTCCTTTGTCATCAATAAATATTTCATATTGTGTATATGAAAATATCAAAATGACTTATCATGCAAGACATGTTCCATCTTTGACCATAAATCTTCACATTTGAATTGCCATGAAAGTTCCTGAATCCATGACTCTCCCATGTTGTTTATATATATGAAAATGGATGTTAATTAACGTGCATTATACAAAAACTATAAGCTATAACGCATGCAAGGTTCCACAATTCCCATGGTTTCGGAAACTGAAAATGTGGTTTTAAATCAACTTCCACAACCCAAACGTCCATTGAATAGCGATGACATGATCTTTGAAACATCCTCAACGGTTGATCAATTAAACAACCACGTTGTACCGCTGCAACCAACAATGTTAAAAGAAGACGATCGAAAAAAACATTTTGTACTTGTTGATAAGGTTGGGAACCGTGTGTTGGACAAGATTTACGAGAAGCTTCCTGCAAAATTAAGAGAGGAAATAAATTTGGAAGGAGAAAGAAGAGATGAATTAGAGAATACTACTTCTCGTGGTGTTGAAATAGGGATGTCAGATAAAGAGAAGCTTGGTCGCTTTAAGGTTCGAACTGTTGTTGCTCAAGAGGTTGTCAAAGAGGATGAGAAAAAATAAGCTAATCTTTTTATTAGTTTCATTTGTTTCAATTTTTATATGTTATTTGTTTTTTGGTTATTTTTGTGAGAACAAGTATATAATAAGAATTTGTCAAATTATTTTATTTATTTTTTTAAAATTGTTGTTGTTTGCCCTAAAGAGATAATTCAATTAGTTTACCAAGCCAATAAATCAATTTTTGTGCTTTACCTAGCATGTTCGTGAGAAAGTCATAAGATCCGTTTGTTTTGCCTTTTTTTAAAAGTGATTTTTATAGTGTAATATAATTTTGTAAAAAAAATTTTACAAAAAAAATTTTCATAAAAACTTTAAATGAAAATTTGGTTTGAATATTCTTAAAATGTTATTTTAAATATATCAATATTTTATCGGAAAAAAATCTAGATATCAAAATTTTAAAAAATCACTTAATTTTAAAGCTATTTTAAATAATTTTTCATAAAAATTATTTTTGAGATACAATATTTTTTCAAAAATTACAGTTTTGACTATGTTTTCATCTTCAATAATGTATATCTATGTCATATGATGTTAAAATTATTAATCTTACAATTTAGAAAAAATAAATATAGAAAAACTTATAGTATTTTAAAAAACAATTTTACAAAATCTATTTTTAAAAATACAAAAGAAAAAATCCATTTTTTTAAGCTCAAACAAACAGGCCCATGATTTTCATTTAGTCGTTTATTACTTTTATTTGTACAAAACTAGCTGAAATGAAATAATGGTAAAACGAACACTAACAAAATCTTAAAACTTGTTTTGCACTATACACAACTGTTTATTGGTATTTTAATAAATAATTATGAATTTGATTCACTTGAGAGATTAAATTCGAAAAAATCTCAAATTTATTTCTATAATAATTGAGACAAATTTTCTGATTGTTAAAGAGATTGAAAGATCAAGTTTTTGTTTTTTTAAAAAAATTATCGTGAGTCGATATTAACAATTTCTAAGATATTTTGAGCAAAACTAAAATTCATTGATATAAATATTTATTTTTATTGGATCATAAATCACTATAGAGAATATACTATTATTATCAGAATATTTTTATTTTATTTTAAAAAATTACGGGCCTTACATAGACTAGCTAACTATTTTGTTCACACAAACTTTAATAAATCACCAAGTGCATATATACGTTTCAGGATGGCATAATTTCCCTCTCATAGTGAATTTCATTTAGCTTAATTAAACAATTATGCTTACGTGGGATTAGGGATCAATCTTGTTGTTTTCTCTCAAATATGTTTACGACAATTGCTTTGACATTCAAATACTAGAATCGCACTTGTTGGTTTTATGAGTATCACTTTAGCCTTGAGGTATCCATATGGCCTCAATTTTTTTTTCTTTAAAAAATTAAGTTATTCTTACTTCTCTATCGCAGTTCAATATCTCATAATTTATTATGAAAGAACTCATTATGAAAAAATCCCTCCCCAATTCTTCTTGAATACAAAATGGATAGACCAAATCAAGGAGTCCAAAAAGTCCATATGAGATTTCTTTAGTATTACAAACATATATAGGTTAATATCCAATTAATCCCTTGACATATAGGGTGAATTTTAAAAACGCCACTAAAAAAATTAGAGCAACCTCGTCAAGGAAGGAGTGTATGTTAAGGCACATCAGATAATCGTTATTAGATTTCAAGAAAATACTCCACCCTATATGACTTATTTTTGAGGGGGTTGCACACATTTCTGAGTTGTCGGTAAGTATTAGGAAAACATTTCACTCTTACACAATGTTTAAAAGGTTGTGTACACGTCTGAGTTTTTGGCAGCTTTAGAAAAACATTTTACCTTTATATGACTCATATTCGAGGAGTTGCAGACATGTTCGGTCTCTTGAGTTAGATTCTGAAGAGAGTTGGAGTTAATTTAGATATAGTTGAACTCTCCTCGTTCGAAACATTTTTTGAGAAGAGCATGATCAAATTAAAATTGTTAATGTGCCGAAATGGTTATACCAATTCAAGTATGGCAAGAGTCAATATTTGATTGAGATATGATTGAGAATACATTTCCTGCTAGAGAATATCAAAATTGTTATGATATTTGGATCGAACTTTAGTGTCGACAAAAGTAGTTTCATGGTTCGACGGGAAATGTGTATGTTGTAGTCGAAGTCTGTTCGAGCATAATGTTAAAATATATTAACTTATAATTTAAGTTAGTATGTCGAATTGGGCATTTCTTCTAAGCCCAATTGTTAAGCTAGCTTGTATTCTAAGTTAACTTAGTAGTCTTTAAATAGACTACTTCTCTCAGGTTATTGAGAATGATTAATTGTTGGTATTCACTTGTAATCTTTGAATCCTTATTGAGAAAGTGAATAGAAAAACATATTTAACCAATTCTTATTCTTCTTCTTCCTTCTTCTCTCCCTTTTGTAAAACCTAATAGGGTTTCTTGTGTTCGTTCAATAAAATCAAATTTTTTTCTCATAATTTGATTTGTTCTTGGCGACATCAATTCACAACAAACTGGTGCGGTGAGCCTGAAGGAGAAGATGTCGTCAATAAAGTATGAGATTGAGAAATTCACATGTGTGAATGATTTTGGTTTGTGGAGCTTAAAGATACAAGCTCTTCTTGTTCAACATGGTTTATTAGAAGCGTTGAAAGGATCACAGAAGATGGATATGTTGCCCTATCAGAGAAGGAGAAGACAACGATTTTCAAAAAATTTGATAGAGCCATTGTGTTGAGCCTTAGTGATAAGGTCTTCGGCAGGTTTCAAAGGAGAAAAATACAGCTGGTGTGTGGACGAAACTTAAAGGTTTGTACATGACAAAATCGTTGGTTAATCGTCTCTACCTAAAGCAAGCTTTGTATTCGTTTAAGATGAGTGAAGACAAAGTATTGGCTGAGCAGCTGGATATGTTCAACAAGTTGATTCTTGATCTTGAGAATATTGAGGTAAAGATTGATGATGAAGATCAAGCGTTGTTGTTGTTGTGCTCTTTACCTAAGTCTCATGCTCACTTCAAAGAAACTCTCTTGTATGGAAGAGAGTCGTTGACCTTTGAAGATGTTCGATCTGCCTTGTACTCTAAATATTTGAAAAACGAAAGGAGCATAAACCATCTTCTGTTGGAGAAGGTTTGTCTGTTAAAGGGAAATGAAATATGGTAGGTTTGAGAAGAAGAAGAAGGGTAAAGTTATACAGAATTTTTATGGTGGTAATGCTTCCACTATTAAGTGTTATCATTGTAAGAGGGAGGGTCATACAAGAAAAGTATACCCTGATCGACTGAACAATCATGGTGGAAAGGATAATGGTAATGTTGTTATTATGCAAGATGGTTATGAATCATTTGATGTCCTAGTGGTTTCAAGCAGCAACTCTAGCAAGGAATGGATTATGGATTCAGAGTGACCTTAGCACATGACTCCAAACAAAGATGTCTTTGAGGAATTGTGTGATCAAGATGGTGGATCAGTGCTGCTGAGAAACAACAAAGCTTACAAAATTGTAGGTATTAGATCTATGATATTCAAGCTCCATGATGAGTCAATAAGGTTATTGATTAATGTTAGGTATGTACCTGATCTTAAGAGGAATTTGATTTCTCTTTGTGAATTTTACAAGAAAGGATATGTTTTCAAAGGAGAGCAAAGCATTCTAATGGTAATGAAGGGGTTGAAGGAAGTCTCAATAGGCGTGAAGAAATAAGGCTTGTATACCCTTGAGGATGAGGTTGTAAGTGGTTCAGTAGATGTGGCATCCACAAAACCTATGTCGAAGATTGAGCTATGGCACAAGAGACTTGGCCACGTCAGTGAAAGAGGCTTTGTCGAATTATCAAAATAAAATATGCATGGTGGTGACAAGGTCGAAAAACTGGAGTTTTGTGAACCTTGTGTATTTGGTAAATCCTATAAAATAAAATTTAATAAAGGTTAACAAAGAACACATGGATCCCTTGATTACATTCATGCTGGTCTTTGGGGGCCTGCAAGGAATCCTTCACACTCAGGTGCTTATGAAGGAGGGGATAATAGTTTTTAAAATACAAATACCCATAACTACTATGGTGCTTGCTGCAGATGATTTTAGTAGATTCATATTATTTTTCTCCCTTGTCTTCAAGCATCTCGCAAAGTCATATAGCTTGACCGTTGCTTCAAAAAATTCTATGTACTCTACTTCTGTTATTGATTGTGCAATTGTAGCTTGCTTCTTCGACGCCCAAGAGAAAATTCCTGATCCGAGTGAGAAAGCATATCCAGAGGTGTTCATCATGTCATCTATCGAACCTGTCTAATCACTGCCGGTGTAGTCAAGTAACCTTGAGTCGGTTTTGGTAGTGTTCCATATACCAAACTCTTTTGTTCCTTGTAAATAGCTAAAAAATACTACTCCAAAGTGTATCTGAAATGGGTTTTGCATGAATCTAGATAAAAGACTTATAGCATATATTCTGTTTAGTTGTGTAGCCGTAAAATATAAGAGGCTTCCATTTAGACTTATGTATCTGAATGCATCTATTTATGGTGCTCCATCATCCTTATGTACTTTATCATTTGTTATGAGTGGAGTAGCAATAGGTTTGCAATCGCACATCATGAATTTCTTAAGTAAGCCTTTTGTGTATTTATTTTGCGAGATAAATATTTCTCAATTTCTATGACTTACCTCTATACCTAGGAAGTAACTCATCAAACCAATGTCGGTCATCTCAAAGGTCTTCATTATGTCTTGTTTGAACTCTATCATCATCTTAATATTGTTTCCCATATAGATAAGATCATCTACATATAGAGAGAGTAAGAGAGTATACTGACCTTGAAACTTTATGTATAGTGTAGGCTCACTCATGCTCCTCCTGAATCCTCTATCAATGAAATACTGATCAATTCTGCTATACCATGCATGAGGTTCTTGCTTCTAACCATAGAGTAATTTTCTTAGTATTAACACTTTGCTTTCTTCACCTTCAAACATGAACCCTTGTGGTTGTTCCACATAGATCTC